TTCTCCTCCTCGTCCTCCTCCTCCCCCCCCGTCTTCTCCTCCTCCTCCTCCTCCCACTCCCTCTCCTCCCTTATCCTCCTTTCCCTCTCCTGGCTGCCCCCCCTTCCTACCCCACCTCTTCTCCTCCTCCTCCTCCTCCTCATCCTCCTCCTCATCCTCCCCTCCGCCTCCTCCTCCTCCTCCTCCTTCCCCCACCTCCTCCTCCTCCTCCTCATCCACCATTAATTTTCTTTTCAATTGGCTCCCCCCTGTCGCACCTCCAGACGTGTCGGTAGGGCCGGCCTGGCGTTTCGCCTGGGACATCCCCACCACTTATGCACCTGAAGCTTGAACTGTGCAACAATTTCCAACATGAAGTGCGGCTAGTTATCAAACAGTAGCTCTCGTCTTATCGCCACGCACGTTCGTCTTTAAAGCTGTCAGCAGCTTCAAACATGCAGGGCGGCTGGTTCTCAAAATATGGCTCTCGCCTTAGCGCCGCGCGAATTTGTCGTCAAAATTAGCAGCAACTTCAAAGATGGAGGGCGGTTCCTTTTCAATGTGTGGCTCTCGCCTTAGCGTCGCGCGCATTTGTCTCACACAAGTTTGCAGCAGCTTCATTGTGTCGTATGGTTGAATTCCCAGGAATGGTGTTCTGGTGCGATTTAGGACTGTCGGGACGCACCAGCCACGTTGATTCGCGGTACTGATGTTCCAGAAACTGCATCCTTGTACAATTTAGGTCTGTCAGGACGCAACAGTCACGTTGATTCGCAGCGTTCAAATCCCTAGAGCGGTCTTTTGGCACGCCTGTGGATTCTCAGACGGTCGTCTTCCAATGGGACATTTCCCGCAATGAAAATCATTTATTGTAGGGACTTGTGGAAGATGAGCCTGGAGAGAGCTTGTATTCTAGTGTCGCTGATACGCCTTGGGTTTGCACTGGTCTTCCTCCTCCGCCTCCTCCCACTCTCCCTCCTCCTGCCTTCGCCTTTGTGAACCCACACTGGGGGGCACCGCTCGCTGCTGCCCAGAGACAAGGCAGTCAACCCCACACAGGGGGGGGGCACCGCTCATTGCTGCCCAGAGAACGGCCGCTGCGGCGTCAGACACAGTGTCTCACCTGGCCAGCTCGCGTGCGCGAGATGATTCTCCCGTAGCGCGCGACATCATGACGTCGGCTCCGGCGGCCCCGTGCAGGACTTCCTCAATTTCCTCCCATACCTTTCGAGCCAATTTTCCTCAGCTCGACCGTGCTATGCCCCAGCTTGGCAGGGTAGGAGCTGTCCTCACGGCTGTCCAAAGGGCTGCCCTTCGTCGCGGGCAGATCGAAAGGCTTGCGCGGCCGAGCGGACACAATCCCAGACCCCCGACACGAGGTTTTGTTTGTTCGCAACGTCGACCCCCAGAGGTCTGGACTCATTCCCTGGGACCGCCGTTTCATCCTGAGCAATTCTGTTGACGGTCCTGGGGCCCAGCGAGGGCCCTCAGAGGCAGACGATAACACAACCTTCCGTCGTGTGTTTTTTGGCGACGCGAAGGAGCCCGGGATGAAACCCCACCCGCAGAGGAGGGTGGGGGGGGCCAGCCGAATCCACCGATGTGTCGCGCGCAGACTGCGGCACCCGTCTTCGGATCGATCCAAACGCCAGAAACGAAAAACAGATCGCCCCTACACCCTGCGAAATGCTTAAGAAACCATGGGTTAAAAAATTCAGAGTCTCAGAACTGGAATAAAAACCCAGAACTTGTATCAAAATCTTGGGATTTACATTGACAAGTTAAGAATAATCAAGATTCTGGCCGAAAACTTACGTTTTCTCAAGCATCGCCTAAGGTGTAGGCTTTGGGTCATCGCGGATTTCTTGTGCGGGCACCTGCGCCCGCCCCGCTCTCCCTGGCGCCCGGAAGCGCCGCTGGGGGGCCCAGCCGCAGACCCGAGAGATCCTCACATAACTCCGACCACTTATCTTGGTGCCGACCATTTTTGTCTTGGTGCAGTTTTTCTTCCACAGCTGTGTCCTCCGCCGACTCGAAATCCCTCTCTGGGTTGTCGTTCGCCGCTTGCGCCTCCTCCAGCCAGCTCCAGAAGTCCGCGGTGTCGGTCTCTGTCCACTCCTGCTCGGAGTGCGTCGGCGGCATGCCGATGCGGTTGGTGATGTAGCTGGGCCTGGCCATGGATGAGGAGGAGAATGAATGAGAGGGGAGGGAGGGGAGGAAGGGAGGGAAGAGGATAAGGTATGAGGATGGAGGCCGGAGGGTGAGGGATGAGGAGGAGGAGGACGAGGAGGAGGAGGAAGAGGAGGAGGAGGAGGAGGGACCAGAGTAAACCCAAGACGCGTCAGCGATGCTGCAACACACCCTCCCGTCTCAACTCTCCTCCCCAGACGTCCTGACAAGCCTTCCTTTTCACTGCAATACAGAAGCAGGCGCATGTTGGGGACGCCCTCTGTGCCCTCATACACGTACGTGCGAAGACCTCGGCGATCACATGTTGAATGCCCTCCTTCGCGCCTGCACGCGTGAGAACGTGCCAAACGCACACGCGCCAGGCGCATGTTGGGGACCCCCACTCCAAGCGCGCTTTACGTGCGAAGACTTCGACGACCACTTGTTGGATGCCCCCTTCGCGCCTGCACGCGTGAAGACACGCGCCAAACGCTTACGCGCCAGGCAAACGTGAGTGACCCGTCCTCCGAGCACGTTTTTCACGTGTGTTGGATGCCCCTCCTTCGCGCCTGCGGACGTGAAGACACGCGCCAAACGCGCACGCGCCAGGCGCATGATGGGACCCCCAACCACGATTGTCCGCACGCGTGGAGAATTCGACGAGTCCATGTTGGGTATATTCTTCCTTCGCGCCTGCACACGTGAAGACACGCGCCAAGCGCGCGCACACGCCAGGAACATGTTGGGGACCACCCCCTCCGAACTCGTATTTGCACGCGCGAAGAATTCGACGACCACATGTTGGATATTCCTCCTTCGCGCCTGCACACGTGAAGACATGTGCCAAACGCGGCCCCAGCTCGATCAAGTTGGCTAGGGTCTGCTCGCTATGGATGGCGCCCGAGGCCCATGGGCCGTTGAGCCCAAACCAGGTCGAGTGGACGATGGTCGTTGCGCTGTCTGGATGCTGTCCGAGCCCAGGGCGCCGCTAAGACCCAGGGCCGTGAGGCTGACGATGGTGGACACGTCCTGGATGGCGCGGACGAGTCGGCGAGGTTCTGTGCGTCATGGATGCCGCTCGTGTCTGGGTGCGGTGTTGCTCCAATCTGGTTGGGTTGGCAAAGGCTGGCGCAATCTGGACGCCGCCCGATGCGCATGTGCTATCGAACGCCGGCCCTGGCACGCCAACGAGTGTCTGAATGGCCTGGGTACCCGGAGTCCGGGCGTCGTTGGACCACAGCTCGGTCATGCGGCGAGTCTGTGGCCTACGCTGCAAGGCTCCAAAACTGCACGATCACGGCGTTGATGTGCTACGCGCCCAGTCAGCGCCACCACGTGCACCGCCATGAGCTGGTCGAAGCTCTCAGCCACGCGGCCAATTTTTTTGGGGGGCGGCATTCGAGCTGCTGCAGCGACGTGAGGTGGCCGAATCACTCAGCAGGGCGCCTAGCGTCTGCAGCGCCTCGAGCTGGCAGAGGCTCTCCAGCGGGGTGCGCAGGCGATGATCTCTGAGCGCCTGCAGCACCTCTTTGTGGTCGACGCACTATTCTAAATTTCTCAGACGCACCTCTTTCTGGTGAACTCCTCAGCCGGCTTTGGTGAAATTTCGATTGTTGTAGTTCCGTGACCTGAGTTCTTGTTCTGGTCGAGTTCTGGTCGAATTCCGAGATCTGCAAGGGCGTGAGCGGGCTGAGGCCCTCCGACATGCTGCGCAGGTGGCGCTTCCGAGTCGTCGGCGCTTGCGGTGCCTTGAGCGGGCTGCGGCTCTGGCAGGCAGTGCTGGTAGGACTCCGCCAGTGCAGCACTGTGCAAGGGCTGAAACTCTGGGCAGGCTGCTCAGCGGGCCCCAGAGCCCACGGCGCCGCGAGTTGGCCGATGCTGCCCAGCAGCCTGCGCGAGCGGCGCTCTCTGAGAGTCAGCGCTCGCAACGTCGTACCCAAATCCCCGACGTCGTGAATGTTTTGACAGCGTCGACCCCCAAAGGTCTGGACCTCTTTCCCGGGATCGGCTCTTCATCCTGAGCCGTTTTGGACGGCCCCGAGGCCTGATAAGGGCCCCGGGAAGCCGAAAATTGCGAAACACCTCCCGTCGTAAATTTTTCATGGCCCAAAGGGTCTGGGTTCGTGCAGTGCGCAGTGTCGAAACCAGCGTGGACCCATGCGCATGTGCGTCCTTCTTGCGTCCCTGCCCCCCTCTGCGCCTAGCTGGCTCCTTCTGCTCCCGCATCCAGCGCGGCGGCAAGGCACTCCGGGAGGGCCTGGGATGTGCGAGCGTTGCCGCGCGTGCTGCCAACGCCCGCGCGATGGCGCACGCGCTCGCCACCCGCGCTGGCAGCGCACTGGGCGCCGAACCTGGACCCCCGACGTCGTGATTTTATCGCAGCGTCGACCCCAGTGGTCTGGACCCCTTCCCCGGGAGGAGGAGGAGGAGCGCTTCGTGACGGCAGTGATTCTGCCCTCGATGGGAGGGTGGCGAGCCCGCTAGTCGCAGTCTCTGCGAGATGCAGACGCGCCCGGCTCGGATCGGGGAGACGTGCTCGGCGGCGTTGCAGGCGGGTCGCGCCCCTGAAATCCCTCTTTTTCCCGTGGTGGCCTCGGCTCGATGCCCACTGTGGCGTTTTGGGCCGTTCGCTTTGCGCGTGGGTGGGTTTGGAGAGACCCGACGTAGAGGTACTATCCGACTTCCTCTGTCCGTCATGTCTCCCCTCCCCTGCCGGGTCAAGCTGAGGCTTCCCAAAGGTAGCAACAACGATTGTGCGATGAGACCAGAAGATCGGGTTCGTTTTCCGGGTGTGGCCTCAGACTGAAAACACTGAGGCGCTTCCTTGAGCCACGATGGATACGGAAGCCCTCGCTCCCGCGTCGCTTCTCGGCTGTCGAGCGGTTAACCGCTCGACGGTCGCCAGCAACAAAACTGGGCATTCCCGGGAGGCTGGCTGAATGGTGACGCGTTGTATAACACCAAGGACTTTCTGCCATTTGCACGCAGATGACAACAATGACGGCACACGCGCGTGCGGTGGAAGTAAGGGCGCGCCGTGCACCCCGAACATGTCCCACGGGAAATCGCGTGGGTTCGGTATAACCCCGAACAAATCCTACGGGGAATTGCGCGTGTTTCGGCAGACCCCAAACAAATGCATTCGCACTCAGTCCCGATACATGTGCACGCACAAGACATGCGACTCTGTTGCCCAAGAATGACCGATACGTGTCTGATGGACTTACGTGCTCCCCCCATCCGCAGTACTCGAACAGGAAGGCTGTGGATGCCCACGTCAGTCCATGGCCCTTTAAGGGGCCGCCCATCTCCGCTCGGAAGCCCCAAGTCTGTGACGCGGTGCTGCTCGGCGCCGCTTCTTCTTCGGACGGGCTCTTTCTCCAGCTTCAGCGTCTGGACGTTGACTCGCACGATCGGTTCCTGCATCCCCTGGTGCGCCAGCGTCAGATGAGGCGGCTCCAAGGTCTCGTCCTCTGACCTGCGCCGTTGCCTCGATCACTGCCTGCAGCTCCACGTTGGCGATGCCGTGGTTCCTGACGAAGGCAGCGTAGGGCGCGCGCATGTCGTGGGCGTAGTTCGCGCGCACATCTGGCAACGGGGTGAGGTCATAATCTGGCCGCCACTTCTCGCACATGGCCCTCAAGAGCTCCCTCCCGCAGTGGGTGGTCTTGCGGGGCGTCCGGGTGGACGATGCCCTCAATCATCAGCGTGCTCCCTCCTCCTCCCCCTCGCGCTGCCGCAGCACCTGGTCGCGGCGGTTGTCCGGGATGGGGCGTGGCGGGGCCGTCGCCTGCCATGTCGCTCCTGTTAGCCCGTCCTGGGGTCACGGAGGTCGTGTGCGCGGCCGCGGTGCTAGGGATATGGCCCTCCATGGCATCGATGAGGACCTTGATCACCTCGGGCGTGGCCAGCTTGGTCAGCGAGTCGGCGACCATCTCCTTCGTGGGGCAATAGCTGAGCTTCACCCGGCCCTGCTTCCCCTCCTCCAGGAACCGCTTGGCGCGTACAGCATACTAGCGAGTGCGCCAGGTGGCGCCCAGGCTCGCCGCAGTGAGAGCGGCCTGGTTGTCGATCAGGATCTCGACGCAGTTGGGGTAGAGGTGCAACGTGGAGAGGAGGTAGCTAACCCCCTCAGTCACCTGCCAGCCCGGGGCGGCAGCGCAGAGCTCGGCCTCGGCCGTGGACAGCGCGGACAGGGCTGCCCGGCTGGAGCGCCACGTGATTACCGAGGCGCCCCAGCAAATGATCATACCATTCTGCGACTGGGTGGCTGCCCCAGCGAATTCCGCACCTGAGTAGACGCGGAGGTCGTTCTCGTCGCCCTGGGTGGTAATGGGGCGACCTTGGTCGGCTGTCCCTGCCAGGTGCCGACACAGTTTGTGGGCGAGGTCGCGGCTCCATGTCCCATGCTTGGTGCTGCTGGAAGCCAGGGGGAAGTCCAGTAAGAGACATCTGGCCTGGTGCGCGTGGCAAGCCAGTTGAAGGCCCCTGCGTGGGCCTGCAGCCCCTTGAGCTGCTCGGGCTGCGGTGTGTCCTCCTGCTCAGGAAGCTTCTCCATGGAGACGTTAGTGATGGATTTGCAGTGGTCCATCCCGTGCTTCGCCGAGAGCTCTTTGGTGAACCACTCCTGGGTGAGGTAGAGGTCTCCGTTCGAGCGCATGTGCCAATCCAAACCCAAAAATGTAAGGGATACCTCTGGCGTGAGGGCCCTCTCTGGCCCAAACTCCCACAGGCCGAAGAACGCCTCGATGAAAAGCTCCCTGTCTGGCCCTCTCTCGGTGAGGGGGGGCATGTCGCCCACGTGCACGCGCAGAAGCCCACGAAACTCACGTGGGTGTCCCCTCCGTCTGAGGCTCCACACCTGAGTGTCGACCTCGTTATGCTCCAGTCGCCGTTGGAGGTCCATCTAATCTGCTTCAGCTTGCGGTCCCTCTCGCCTGACCACCGCTTCGGGCTATGGCGGAGACCGTGCGCCGCCCTGTTCAGCTTCCACACCGCGCCCTGATCAACGATGCCCCAGGCGACCCACTGCGCAAGGGGCTGGACAAGGATGAGCTCGTCGGGCGGCAGCGGTGCATTCAGGAACGCCTCCCTCACGTCGAGCTTGCTCACCATCCAGCGTCGAATGGCCGCAAACTTGGCAGCCATAAAGATGCTGGATTGTTCGGCCTAGGCTGTCCAGCGCTGCGCTGAGGGATCAAACTGCCGGAGGTTCCCGGCTATGCAGGTGCGGCATTTGCGGAAATCCTGGTCTGTGCAGGACCACGTGTTGAGCATGGGCAGCGGTCCCTTGCCGTATCTCTTGATGTCGTCTGCTGGCGCCACCTGGGCCGCGCCCCGCGTCAAGGAGTCGTGCTCCGCCTGAGCGGCGAGGATCCATGCATTGCGATCAGGGCCAACTGCTCGGCGAATCTCTCCGGGGGAACAGCTGTCTTGCCTGGCTCTGGGCCAGCGACTCGCTGCAAGGCTGTAAGAGTATCGCCCTCAACATGGTCGACTGGTCCTGAAGATGCCGCTGCCGCGCACCATGCCATAAGCAAATGGTAGACAAAGCGGGCCACGAGAGATGGCTCTCGATATCGTCTCCGCCGCTGGCGCGAGGCTCTCGAAGGGCGCGGTGCCTCGCAGTCCTTCTCGTCGTCCTCTGCGACTTCGGGCTGCGAGTGCGCGCTGTCCCGGGTGTCCTTGCGCGCGCCCAGCTCGCCCGTCGCGGCCTCGGCGCACCCGCCTCAGCTGCGGGCAGACCAGGGCCCGCGGCCAGCTCGTCGTCGGCGGAGAACGAGGACTCGACATCCTCCCAGTCGTAGAACTCGGCCTCCCCAGGGTCCGTGGTGGAGTCGTCGGCGGCCGACGGAACTGATCCCAAAGTCGCGAGCGTAGATGTGGCCATGGCCACGGCCAGCGCAGCGTGCGGGAAGCACTCAGGGGGGCTGTCGCAAGCTCGGGGCGTCTGTCCTGGACTCTGCTCAGCAAGTGCTTCATCTCCTTGGTCGGTGGCCCTGTTCTCGGGATCTATGTTCTCGAGGGCTGGCTCGTGGAGGAAATCCTCATCTGTGCGCTGCGCGGTCCCGGCCTCCTTCTGGGCGGTCAGCAGCAGGCGTGGGGCCCGCAGGCACCCCCCACGGACTAGGCTGTGCCGACTGGTCTGTCTCCAGCCCTTGCGCGTCTGGAGGCAAGCCGTAGAGATGGCCGTCTCGCGCGTGACGGCTGGGAGGTCCTTGGGGCGCGGCCCGGGCACCGCGGCGGCGTCGAAGTCAGCCAGATCTGGAAGGCCAAGAGGGCGGTCGGGAGGATCCCAACTGTTCACACTGGGCTTCACCCGCGCGCGGTCATCCTGTGAAAGTCCCTGTGGCTGGACGTCAGCCCGCGGCTTGATCCATCCTTTCTGATAGATCTAGTAAGCGTCTGAGATGTGGTCGCAGCCTCCGAAGATGGTGCATGGCTCTGCCCGCGGTGTCCACGAGCTTCTTGGAGGCGGAGAGGTCACCAGCATCCCACACGTGCCGAAAGGGACTCTGGGATAGCATCCAAGGCTGGCGTCGGTTCGCTCCAGCTGCGCAACTACCAAGATACCGACTCCCCAAGCGTTCGCGTTGGGGTTGTGTCCCTGCGTAGTTGTCCTGTGGGTTGCGTGTTCGCAGCAGTGCTCAGAAAGCTCGCCGTTGACGAACTCCGTGCCTCTGTCGCTGTGCAGGTGGAAGTAGAGCGCGCGCGGCAGCCCGGCGTGGTCGTCATTGACATTCGCCACGGGGCCCATGATGGCCTCCGTGGCCTCGGCCTTCAAGCCGAGCAGGGCTGCTTGGATGAGCGGCCGCTGGAGGTCCTCGCCGCTGGCTGCAGGGGCTGCGTCTGGAGCTGCTGGATCGTCTGCCGCTGCTTCGGCGTCAGCT